GGTGATGTGTGAAAAGGATCGGTTTGGGAGATCTTGATTACGTATTGTGATTTTGTTTGATTAGCCATAGAAAACCTAATTAGCTTCCGAAAAACTTAAGCGGCATCATCAGTACGATAGTACGCAGTAGAGAGGCTTCGCTGCAGCGCAACCACCACCACTTGCACGACATCGGGATTGCAAGGCAGGTGCCAACCTGCGTAGGGAACTGGGCGACCTTCGCGGTATCCTTAGCCCACGCGCGACTAGTGGTGGTTGCGCGGCAACGAAGCGTTGATACTTCGTACCGGCGTACTGCTGGTTCCCTTTCGATGAATGTAGACATTGGTAAACCATACCACAAGTTAGTTTCCGAGTCAGAAGATTCTCATCACCGGAGGACAGACATTCTTTTACTTTCCACCATGACTCAGACGCTGGATTAAGCATCTATTCTCCGATAAGGGTTAGCATGCATTTATTTTGTATTTATTTTAAGGGAGTAGTAGTTAGTCAAGTGGGGTAAGTGTATCCTCATTTGCTTGTCTTCACAGCATGTGAGAACAGATTTCTACTCAACTTGCAGTCAGATTAGAATAAGAACACCACTTGACGTGTGACCACAGGCTAGTGAAGTTATGCGGAATTTTGTGAACTAGGTCGTGATGAAAAAATGCCATTCTCTTGATATTAGTAATACTGCTTATGCTAACAAGTAAGACAAAAATGCCCATACGGTTAATAAATCTAATGTACCATAGTTTCCACCGTTGTGAAGCAGATCTCCCGCACTGAGGGACTGCAACGTAGCGGAAGTGCAGCGATCGAGTTCACCACAAGCAACTAAAGTAGGCGTCACTAACTTGATACATCGGAGCCAAAGAAGCAAAGTAGCTGCGGAATAATGTGCATATATGGTGAGACCGAAATCGTGAGCAACGCACAGGAAGAATTGCAACGTGCGAGGAAAAATGTCCACCAAAGCTGCACTAATTCCATTGCACGATAGCTCAGACCAATGACTGAAGTGAGAGCTGCTTGCTGTCTTGCATCAAGGTGAATTACTTGCGAAATCGCTTCACAGATGCACACAAGCCACATGCGAGACCGAACCGGTTGCAACTGCTAGTAGAGACCACATGGGAAAAGCCAAGGGCATAGTACGTCTGTCTGATGTGCTGTTTAATCGAATTAATCATTGTTTAGCTGCAGACATCTCGGATACCTTCATGGGTGATCATTCACCCCGAGTTTTCAGAAGAGCAACCAAAATAAACCTTTCCGATACGACACAAACATTTTAAAAACCTAAGTGTGATATAACCCGACTCATCCACCACTGCCGTGCAGGTTATAGCCCGGACAGAGGACAGTTGTTGGGAGTCAAGGTCAGTTGACGCCACTTGTGCAGTTGGTAGCAATCCCTACGTGCGGTAAACAGAAATCGGGAAAGAGATTTTTGGAGAATGATCATAAAGAAAAGTAAGACAGCGGAAACCGCATTGTTCGTGTCACCAGATGTTTTTACATGGAATGCTACATCCACCTGGTGCATAAACACGGGTGCGATTGCTTTGCGCCATTTCCACTGATAACAGGAAAAATGTTCCCTTATGAATACAGCCCGTTATACGACACTGGGGGGGGGCTCGGTGATGCATTACAAATTGTTAAACGCCTTCGGTCTTCATCTGATAAGTGACCATATTACGATAAGCGTCTTTTAGGATACCACATGGAGTGAGCGTTAAGTGAGTGATCGTAACTTTAAAAGCTATGCGAAGCACACGTTATGCAGAACAATCCTTGTCCACGGTATGCCAGAAGCTGAAGCGTGCGATGAGCTTGATATCACAACTTATGATAGGAAGCCATACTATTACATTGGTGAGCCAAACATTCCTAAAACAACATGTTGTGGGAATTGGTGTAACGACTACGTAGATCAACACACCACAAGGGATGCGGCCCAAGGGAAATGAAGACAGTTCTTCAGTCACAACAGGTGGATAGCACGCTACCATGTCCTCTGCACGAAAGCAACATGCAAGGCAGTGGATAATGAGCCACGTTATATTTTGCATAGTAACTTATTCACGACGGTCATTGCTGTACCGCATAGCTTAGTGATTTCAACCACAGACTGGCAACAGTCGAGTTGTGCGTTCGATGGAATGCGCACTTCAGACGGTTCACGAAAGGATAAAACGGCTGTAGGGTGCTTCTTCGGGAGAGTGATGGCTGTCTGTCTGAGTGTAAGTGTGATAAACTTTTACCTATATCATTCAAATTCCCCTGAAACTCTCTTGTAAATCGTTTTACGGCTAGTGAAAAGCTGATATAGGCTTTGCTACACGCCACCATCTGAGCTTCAGCTGAAAGCAAGGAATAGTTTGCCTCGCATAAACATGACTCCCTGGGAACCAAACACGATGTGACCACCAGTCGAACCATGCACCGTCTGTGAGCCTGACGAAGTCATGCAAGTTGATAGTGAAGCGAGTGACTAAACTCCTTTACGCTGTGCACAAAAGGTTAGATTGGGGAATGTTTGCGAAGCTAGTAAATCTGACGCCGAATTAGTCGACCATGATCCGTCCAAAAAGGATTACTCGCCAGCCGCATACTGGTCGGCGCAAACTCGAATTTGAGTTGCACGTCCTTCAGCGCACTGTTGGAAACTGGGAACCTCTCATGCATTGCAAAATATTTCCTCAGCGGACTCACCGAATTTCGACTAACTGATAGCAAATGTCTTGAATCTCATTTGTGTTACTGAGACCTGGTTGCGCCCAGAAGTTACTGATGACAAAATCGAGCTACTAGGTATGTCGCTTATCCGGAGCGATCGTCATACATGGAATATGGGTTTTCCTGTACCTCCGCAGCGTGCAATGATGGACGTCGTCTGGTGCCGTCTCCAGTTGGAAAAAAACAACGATGTATACCTCGTGGCTTTCGTTTATCATCCCCAACATTTATGTTTCTACTCATCCTGAGCAGGGTAGCCTGCCTTAGGTGCAGTCATGTACTCATCTCAGGGGATTTCTATGTAGCAACTCTGGAAGTATCGGCACCTCCAAAGTTAACCTGCGTGAATTTGTCGCTTATATTCACTGGTATGATTCTGTCATCACATTCGATAGATTTAGGGTGGTAAACAAACCGTCCTTACTGGACCTTGTGCTCACAAAGGAAGAACTCATGGTTAACAATATATTGATAGAGAGTCCATTAGACCTCAGTGAGCATGTAACAATGACATTTGACTATGGAGTTGTTACGGTGTTGCTCTTCCTGATAAGCCTTAACCACGTTTGTCACTCTCTTTTGTAACTTAATCATAACACCAACTTGAGGCGGACATCTAAAGTTGGACACGCAGTATGGCCAACTTGAATGCAATCGAAATTTCTCTCTTCGAGTGTACCACTTGTGAAGCTCCCTCTCCGCGTACATTGTTTCTATGCCAAAATTAACGATATGTGAAAAGTGGCGATGATACATTACACCATTCACCTTTAGCTACGTAAATTGCGTTGTCCAGGAGGCTAACCCAACTGCACGGTTTATTCATAAATTCGAACCAGTGGGTTGTTTTCATGCGAATATTTTGTTCAGTCCCCTAGTTCATCTGTTGATTTGTTGACACACCTTCGCCGTTTTGTTATTTTCATCTCCACAGTCCTACAGGACCTGTTAAGCGTTTGTCGTTTTATCCGCTATATACCATTTTTCCATTGTTTCGTATCAGACCTGATATCTTCCTATTCTCACGTACTAGTCAATAGTTGCGTAGCACCGGAAGTCGCCAGTTTTATTTACGCCATGGATGAGCTCAGACCGTGCTTCAATGGACACTCGGATTACCAGTCTCCCAAGCTACACTCTCAGAACAGGGCTATTATGCTTTAAATTCGGTGCATCGCTGCATGAGTACTGAATCCCGACTAATGCATACTGCCCCAGTACGCCTGATCATGCGATGTCTCCGCTGGTAACCACAGCGTCACCGGGAAAAGGCATCGGCAGTACGCCGGCACATTGTACCGACGTTTTGTTGCCAAGCTACCACCACTGGTCGCGCGTCAGCTGATCCTACTGCTAGATCACTGGCATTTACGCAGAATCGAAGAGGTGACCTATGAATTAGAAGGCAGCCACCTGGTCTTTTCGGCCACCGGTCGACTATCGACGCAGGAAGTGTACATCTAGGTGTCTTGTGACAATATTATGTGACTCATCGTTAGGGTGCCACGTTAATTACGAAGTTTACCAAAGGCCATCACTATGAACTGGCGTTCCGTTCGGAATGCCGTACATGCATTAGGCTACCCAGTGACTTGTTTAGGAGTGCAGCTGCCTTTGTGTGTATCGTCAGTTACCAGTTCAAAACCAGTATTCCAGCCGAAGATCGGGCATGTTTATACAAGGTTTCAGGCTTTGTTTCAACTGTGGAGAGCATCGAGTTTCTTCAAGCCAGTACCTTCTTACTACCATCGGTTTTTCTCCGAAATTTGATCGTGTTATTCACAGCTATATCAGACAGCACCGCATCATCTTCGGTACTCATCTTAGTTACAGCCCATACCAGGTGCTGCCTCACCCAATTTATTAAAAGAGTGAATGATTTATGGGCTCTATAACAACAGTACCGATAAGATCACGGTCGCTCCGACAGGTGGCAAGTCGAACGATAAAGCGCATCGATGTAGACATGGGGGTGTCCAGTCAAACCGTCTATGGAAAACTCAATGAAAGCTACATGCAGACACCGCAAGTGGTGGTCAGGTTGATAGATTAAAATGAGGACCAGGTGGACTGCGGAGGGTTAAGAAAGCGGTCAAAGAGGAAATGGTGCATTTGAATCCACTTGGGTGGCAAAACAGGGGACCTTTTGGCATGAAAGAGTTTGATGTGGCAGTAAACTTACTGTATTACGACCATATTAATTACGTCGCGGAGAAGTTAGAAGAGGACGATATAGATATCAAATGCACTTGGCGGTTCCAATGACTTACCTGCAGATCGTGACAAGTGAAGCTCGTCAGAACATAATAGGTTGTCGTACAGACTGCTCCTTCGTTCCGACTTAAGCATCTGCTCCACGATCGCTCTTGGCTGCTGAATTCGGAAATTCAAATCCCCAGCCCAGAAGACAACATCGAATCGGTCAAGACTTTCTTGACCTAGAACCAGAGATTAAAGAAAAGCGAACTTTCATTGCCTTAAAGTAACGTCCCTTGGTCCTTAGGAATTTGGCGTCAATGCATATTTCTAGTAGTCATGTTGAGAACCAATGACATATGGGGTTCAACCCGAAAGATAACAGAAAAATGAATAGACTATAGCCCTCAAACAAGGGCCGTTGGCCTCAATGATAACGGTGAGTACGGGTTGACTAGTATCTATCAACCAATTGTACTTCTCAGATGCAGCTCAATTTGAATGGGCCGAATATCTACAAGTAAAGTAAAAGCTAGGAGAATCATTGATAAATCTTACAATCCACCGGCATATCATACTTTTGAGTTAGTATCAATCGTACTCATTTGCCTTTACGCTAGCAGATATTTACTCTACCCATAGCATTCAATGGAGTGCAATCATCTATATAGACTAGCTCCCGATAGCATAGTTTAAAGAATTATGATACCTGTTACCCACGAAACATTGGCATATAGTGACTAACAACCTAAAATTAAAGATCTGCAAGGCTGTTTGGTTTTGTAATGCCCGCTGTGTACCTGAATTGCGGCGCGCCATCTCAATTGAAATCATGGTTTGATTTAAAGTAAATCTGCTGTTTCAATCACTTGGACCGCATCCGAAATGAAGAGTTTGCAGAACAGAACCTCAATCAATACATGTCTGGTCACGCTCTCAACTCCGGCTATCTACCACGACGAAACGAGTCACGGAATGCAACGTTGGGAGACAGGGCAGCTCCGAATCTCTCATCTTCGGGTGTTGCCATAGCTCCTTGAAGATGCTGATCAAGTGATTGCAGACGCCGTCAACGCGGAAAAGGGCGAGTGGGTTATTTGATCGACAAATTATCATTCGTTACCCCTGTGCGAATGTAGAGAATAAACACACCTTCAATTAACTCGCTAGCCCCAATAAGCTAGGCTGTTCGCTCTGCACCGCTCTTAAAGCTCCCCAAGCGACTCCTCATGAGTCGGATACATATAGCATTTGTGAAACTGACGCAACACACTTCACCCAGTAATAACAGTCCTCGTCCGAAACGGTCTGATTACCGTTGCAACTGTTGCACTTCATTCGACCTACCAACTAATTAGAACAGCACAGTTGAACTTTGTCCTGATATTCTATTTTAGTACACATCTACATACATTCACCTACGGTGCCGAACGCTTGGGACACAACCAGATGTTCGTCTGCGGAGGAAGGTGCACATATCCCTGGCACTCTATCGAAAGACATACACAGAAACACAGTGTTATGTTGGAAAACACTATACGGGGAGTGCATGCAACAGGGGAATCAACAGATTAAACTACGTCACTAAGCTCGATCCCGAAAGCATTGAGCAAAGCATCTTTGTGATTGCTTTAATCACCACAAAAACGAACGCACGCAGGAACCGCACAAGAGAAAGTAAATTATGCAAAGGCCTGATTTACTTCATAATTTTGTAATAACATTTAAACAATTAGGTGACGACAGAGAAACCCGACAATTGAAAAATTTTTGCAAAATAGGCAAAACATTTAGACATTCCTCATGATAAAACGGTAAGTTCCTTCATTAGTTTGAACAAGAAAATAAGAAGAATATTGCCAGATGCCAGAGTTTAATATAACCACGTCCGCACCAATAAATT